CATCAGCGATTAAGCTCAGAACTGTGTGTGATATTACAATACCCTTAAAATACAAAAAGCAACAAAAAAAAAAAGTCTTAATGAAAATCATGAATTTTGGGCAAATACTTTTTTGGAGTTTTCTGTCATTTGAAACTCATCTTTTTAACGGTTATGTCTATAATGCAGTGCAGGAGTGTGTGTATAGTGTCTTTAATGCAGTGCAGGAGTGTGTGTATAGCGTCTATAATGCAGTGCAGGAGTGTGTGTATAGTGTCTATAATGCAGTGCAGGAGTGTGTGTATAGTGTCTTTAATGCAGTGCAGGAGTGTGTGTATAGTGTCTATAATGCAGTGCAGGAGTGTGTGTATAGTGTCTATAATGCAGTGCAGGAGTGTGTGTATAGTGTCTATAATGCAGTGCAGGAGTGTGTGTATAGTGTCTTTAATGCAGTGCAGGAGTGTGTGTATAGTGTCTATAATGCAGTGCAGGAGTGTGTGTATAGTCTATAATGCAGTGCAGGAGTGTGTGTATAGTGTCTATAATGCAGTGCAGGAGTGTGTGTATAGTGTCTATAATGCAGTGCAGGAGTGTGTGTATAGTGTCTTTAATGCAGTGCAGGAGTGTGTGTATAGTCTATAATGCAGTGCAGGAGTGTGTGTATAGTGTCTATAATGCAGTGCAGGAGTGTGTGTATAGTGTCTATAATGCAGTGCAGGAGTGTGTGTATAGTGTCTATAATGCAGTGCAGGAGTGTGTGTATAGTGTCTATAATGCAGTGCAGGAGTGTGTGTATAGCGTCTTTAATGCAGTGCAGGAGTGTGTGTATAGTGTCTATAATGCAGTGCAGGAGTGTGTGTATAGTGTCTTTAATGCAGTGCAGGAGTGTGTGTATAGTCTATAATGCAGTGCAGGAGTGTGTGTATAGTGTCTATAATGCAGTGCAGGAGTGTGTGTATAGTGTCTATAATGCAGTGCAGGAGTGTGTGTATAGTGTCTATAATGCAGTGCAGGAGTGTGTGTATAGTGTCTATAATGCAGTGCAGGAGTGTGTGTATAGTGTCTATAATGCAGTGCAGGAGTGTGTGTATAGCGTCTTTAATGCAGTGCAGGAGTGTGTGTATAGTGTCTATAATGCAGTGCAGGAGTGTGTGTATAGCGTCTTTAATGCAGTGCAGGAGTGTGTGTATAGTGTCTATAATGCAGTGCAGGAGTGTGTGTATAGTGTCTTTAATGCAGTGCAGGAGTGTGTGAATAGTGTCTAATGCAGTGCAGGAGTGTGTGTATAGTGTCTATAATGCAGTGCAGGAGTGTGTGTATAGTGTCTATAATGCAGTGCAGGAGTGTGTGTATAGTGTCTATAATGCAGTGCAGGAGTGTGTGTATAGTGTCTTTAATGCAGTGCAGGAGTGTGTGTATAGTGTCTTTAATGCAGTGCAGGAGTGTGTGTATAGTGTCTATAATGCAGTGCAGGAGTGTGTGTATAGTGTCTATAATGCAGTGCAGGAGTGTGTGTATAGTCTATAATGCAGTGCAGGAGTGTGTGTATAGTGTCTATAATGCAGTGCAGGAGTGTGTGTATAGTCTATAATGCAGTGCAGGAGTGTGTGTATAGTGTCTATAATGCAGTGCAGGAGTGTGTGTATAGTGTCTATAATGCAGTGCAGGAGTGTGTGTATAGTGTCTTTAATGCAGTGCAGGAGTGTGTGTATAGTCTATAATGCAGTGCAGGAGTGTGTGTATAGTGTCTATAATGCAGTGCAGGAGTGTGAGTATAGCGTCTATAATGCAGTGCAGGAGTGTGTGTATAGTGTCTATAATGCAGTGCAGGAGTGTGTGTATAGTGTCTTTAATGCAGTGCAGGAGTGTGTGTATAGTGTCTTTAATGCAGTGCAGGAGTGTGTGTATAGTGTCTATAATGCAGTGCAGGAGTGTGTGTATAGTGTCTATAATGCAGTGCAGGAGTGTGTGTATAGTGTCTTTAATGCAGTGCAGGAGTGTGTGTATAGTGTCTTTAATGCAGTGCAGGAGTGTGTGTATAGTGTCTATAATGCAGTGCAGGAGTGTGTGTATAGTGTCTATAATGCAGTGCAGGAGTGTGTGTATAGTGTCTATAATGCAGTGCAGGAGTGTGTGTATAGTGTCTATAATGCAGTGCAGGAGTGTGAGTATAGTGTCTTTAATGCAGTGCAGGAGTGTGTGTATAGTGTCTATAATGCAGTGCAGGAGTGTGTGTATAGTGTCTTTAATGCAGTGCAGGAGTGTGTGAATAGTGTCTAATGCAGTGCAGGAGTGTGTGTATAGTGTCTATAATGCAGTGCAGGAGTGTGTGTATAGTGTCTATAATGCAGTGCAGGAGTGTGTGTATAGTGTCTATAATGCAGTGCAGGAGTGTGTGTATAGTGTCTATAATGCAGTGCAGGAGTGTGTGTATAGTGTCTTTAATGCAGTGCAGGAGTGTGTGTATAGTGTCTTTAATGCAGTGCAGGAGTGTGTGTATAGTGTCTATAATGCAGTGCAGGAGTGTGTGTATAGTGTCTATAATGCAGTGCAGGAGTGTGTGTATAGTGTCTATAATGCAGTGCAGGAGTGTGTGTATAGTGTCTTTAATGCAGTGCAGGAGTGTGTGTATAGTCTATAATGCAGTGCAGGAGTGTGTGTATAGTGTCTATAATGCAGTGCAGGAGTGTGTGTATAGTGTCTATAATGCAGTGCAGGAGTGTGTGTATAGTGTCTATAATGCAGTGCAGGAGTGTGTGTAAAGTGTCTATAATGCAGTGCAGGAGTGTGTGTATAGTGTCTTTAATGCAGTGCAGGAGTGTGTGTATAGCGTCTTTAATGCAGTGCAGGAGTGTGTGTATAGTGTCTATAATGCAGTGCAGGAGTGTGTGTATAGTGTCTATAATGCAGTGCAGGAGTGTGTGTATAGTGTCTTTAATGCAGTGCAGGAGTGTGTGTATAGCGTCTTTAATGCAGTGCAGGAGTGTGTGTATAGCGTCTTTAATGCAGTGCAGGAGTGTGTGTATAGTGTCTTTAATGCAGTGCAGGAGTGTGTGTATAGTGTCTTTAATGCAGTGCAGGAGTGTGTGTATAGTCTATAATGCAGTGCAGGAGTGTGTGTATAGTCTATAATGCAGTGCAGGAGTGTGTGTATAGTCTATAATGCAGTGCAGGAGTGTGTGTATAGTGTCTATAATGCAGTGCAGGAGTGTGTGTATAGTGTCTTTAATGCAGTGCAGGAGTGTGTGTATAGTCTATAATGCAGTGCAGGAGTGTGTGTATAGTGTCTATAATGCAGTGCAGGAGTGTGTGTATAGTCTATAATGCAGTGCAGGAGTGTGTGTATAGTGTCTATAATGCAGTGCAGGAGTGTGTGTATAGTGTCTTTAATGCAGTGCAGGAGTGTGTGTATAGTCTATAATGCAGTGCAGGAGTGTGTGTATAGTGTCTATAATGCAGTGCAGGAGTGTGTGTATAGTGTCTATAATGCAGTGCAGGAGTGTGTGTATAGTGTCTTTAATGCAGTGCAGGAGTGTGTGTATAGTGTCTATAATGCAGTGCAGGAGTGTGTGTATAGTGTCTATAATGCAGTGCAGGAGTGTGTGTATAGTGTCTATAATGCAGTGCAGGAGTGTGTGTATAGTCTATAATGCAGTGCAGGAGTGTGTGTATAGTGTCTATAATGCAGTGCAGGAGTGTGTGTATAGTGTCTATAATGCAGTGCAGGAGTGTGTGTATAGTGTCTATAATGCAGTGCAGGAGTGTGTGTATAGTGTCTTTAATGCAGTGCAGGAGTGTGTGTATAGTGTCTATAATGCAGTGCAGGAGTGTGTGTATAGTGTCTATAATGCAGTGCAGGAGTGTGAGTATAGTGTCTTTAATGCAGTGCAGGAGTGTGTGTATAGTGTCTATAATGCAGTGCAGGAGTGTGTGTATAGTGTCTTTAATGCAGTGCAGGAGTGTGTGTATAGTCTATAATGCAGTGCAGGAGTGTGTGTATAGTGTCTATAATGCAGTGCAGGAGTGTGTGTATAGTGTCTATAATGCAGTGCAGGAGTGTGTGTATAGTGTCTATAATGCAGTGCAGGAGTGTGTGTATAGTGTCTATAATGCAGTGCAGGAGTGTGTGTATAGTGTCTATAATGCAGTGCAGGAGTGTGTGTATAGTGTCTATAATGCAGTGCAGGAGTGTGTGTATAGTGTCTATAATGCAGTGCAGGAGTGTGTGTATAGTGTCTATAATGCAGTGCAGGAGTGTGTGTATAGTGTCTTTGTCCTCTTTACTGCACAATCACAGCATGAGAAACATCATCAGATGAGATGGAGAAAGTCTTTCTACAGTGGAAAGACACCAATAAATCAACTTGGGAATCCCGTCACCTGACCTCAGGAAAGTCATGTTCGTAGAATATAAAAAGAATTGTAGTTAAAAAGTATATATATATATATTTTAGAAAATGGCCGATGGTTTGGCTCGATAAGACTCTTGCTCAGCTGATCATGCACAGCCGGTTAAAGCACTCCAAAGCCCTTTGAAACTGCATTGATTTGGACTTCAAAACGTTGGTGTCCATTATTCGAAGAAAAATCCAGAAATGTTTTCCTCAAAAAACGTATTTTCTCTTCCACTGAGGAAAGAAACACATGGATATCTTGGATGGCATTGGTGTGCATAGGCCACGCAGTGCTGGCGGAATAACACATTAGCGGACCGGAGGGAATAATATGGAATTGTTTAAAGAAAACCGCTTGCAAAAAATATATTAAAGCACTTTCAAGGACCTGTCTCCTTATATTTTCCTATTTATTTTTTCAGATTCACAAACTTTCAAGGATTTCAAGGACCCATGGGAACCCTGTTATTAATATATTAATATATTAGTCGACTAATCGCTTAAATGAACGACTACTAGTTGACTAGAAAAATCTTTAGTCGAGGGCAGCCCTACATACAGCGCAAATTAAAAATGTAGTGAAAGCTGAGTGAGTGTGTGAGAGTGTGTGTGTGTTAGGTCACTCACCAGAGCGGGGTATGATGGGTATCCTCTGCACTTGGCCCACACCAGATCGAGAGCGTCCAGAGCGCTGTAGTCATCGGAGCTCATCCAGCATCCCGAGCGGCCCCTGCTGCGCACCACTGAAACACACGGCCAGGCCAGGCTCATTACACAGCACAGGCTTAACACAACCGTAGCGGATCCACACTGCTCTACAATACAGTCACATTCATCAATAGAGTAGAGGAGTAGAAAAAAAAACATCTCAGCGACCTAGAGGCACTGAACCCACACACACACACACACACGTCTGATGTCACAGTGAGACACTCCTCGGGATCCTCCCATGGAGTAGGAGTCGTTCACACACACACACACACACACACACACGTCTGATGTCACAGTGAGACACTCCTCGGGATCCTCCCATGGAGTAGGAGTCGTTCACACACACACACACACACACACACGTCTGATGTCACAGTGAGACACTCCTCGGGATCCTCCCATGGAGTAGGAGTCGTTCAAATTCACACACACACACACACACACACACGTCTGATGTGTGTGTGCTGCACTCACAGTGAGACACTCCTCGGGATCCTCCCATGGAGTAGGAGTCGTTCACACACACACACACACACGTCTGATGTCACAGTGAGACACTCCTCGGGATCCTCCCATGGAGTAGGAGTCGTTCACACACACACACACACACACACACACGTCTGATGTCACAGTGAGACACTCCTCGGGATCCTCCCATGGAGTAGGAGTCGTTCACATTCACACACACACACACACACACACACACACACGTCTGATGTGTGTGTGCTGCACTCACAGTGAGACACTCCTCGGGATCCTCCCATGGAGTAGGAGTCGTTCTCTGTGCCGGACGTCTCCTCGCTGCTGTCATCCGGGAACGTGGAGCGTGAGAACGAGGCCTTCCCTCGACCCTGTTTAGAGGGAGTGGTGCTGCCACGAGAAACACACACACACAGTTTAAAATTATTCAATAATAATAATAATAATGTGTGTGTGTGTGTGTGTGTGTACCTGGTCCTGTCTGACGCTGCGCTGCTGCTGCTGGAGTGTGTGTATGTGTGTGTGTGTGTGTGTGTGTGTGTACCTGGTCCTGTCTGATGCTGCGCTGCTGCTGGTGATGTGTGTGTGTGTGTGTGTGTGTGTACCTGGTCCTGTCTGATGCTGCGCTGCTGCTGGTGATGTGTGTGTGTGTGTGTGTGTGTGTGTGTACCTGGTCCTGTCTGATGCTGCGCTGCTGCTGGTGATGTGTGTGTGTGTGTGTGTGTGTGTGTGTGTGTGTACCTGGTCCTGTCTGATGCTGCGCTGCTGCTGGTGATGTGTGTGTGTGTGTGTGTGTGTGTGTGTGTGTACCTGGTCCTGGCTGATGCTGCGCTGCTGCTGGTGATGTGTGTGTGTGTGTGTGTGTGTGTGTGTGTGTGTGTGTGTGTGTGTGTGTGTGTGTGTGTGTACCTGGTCCTGTCTGATGCTGCGCTGCTGCTGGTGATGTGTGTGTGTGTGTGTGTGTGTGTGTGTGTGTACCTGGTCCTGGCTGATGCTGCGCTGCTGCTGGTGATGTGTGTGTGTGTGTGTGTGTGTGTGTGTGTGTGTGTGTGTACCTGGTCCTGTCTGATGCTGCGCTGCTGCTGGTGATGTGTGTGTGTGTGTGTGTACCTGGTCCTGTCTGATGCTGCGCTGCTGCTGGTGATGTGTGTGTGTGTGTGTGTACCTGGTCCTGTCTGATGCTGCGCTGCTGCTGGTGATGTGTGTGTGTGCAGGGCCGGCTCTAACCCTTTGGTTGCCCTAGGCGATATTGAGTTTTGCGCCGTTTTAAAAAATTATAAGTATTTATTAAACTAAACATGCTCTTATAGTTACTCAAAAACTTAAACAATAAATTGTTCATACAAATGCTACAAAGAACGTTCAAGGATATTTATATAATAGTTGCATTGTACAACTATATTTTATCTGACCATAAATAACTTTTAGTAGATAAATTACAACTACTAACACTAGGCCTACTATTATTACAATCTATTGGGCTGCTACAAGGCTAAGGGGGTTTCGGGGGTATTTCCCAGTAAGAAAATTTTGTGCATTTTAATGTTAAATTCATCAATCTGGTGAGAGTTCAAAACTAAAAGCTCCAACCCATATTCAGTGTGCAAATTAAACAAAGAAAAATTCAAACCTCTTTTAATTACAGTGTCTGTCTACATTACACTACTACATAATAATAGATATAATATTAATCCCATGACAGTAATTGCCATAGGCTATATTGTAAAACAAATGAAATAAAGGAAACTTTCATTAGTATTGTACAAATTTCTATACTTGAAAGTAAGTTATATATTTGGAAGTAACCCAGCGCCGCCAATTAAGCAAAACAAAACCAAACGAATGGGCCACCGATGTACGAGTTTTATGGGCCGTTAAGAAAAAAATAGAAAAATAAAAGTATGAGATGTATCGGCCCAAAAAGCACGTCGGGCCCGCGGGAATCTCCCGGTTGTCCCGATGGCCAGAACATTTGACACCTTAATGGATAAGATGAGAAGACTTACCTCTATACTGGGCTTTCTTTTTATCTAGCAACTAACCCCCGCCCCCCCTTTAGGAGATGATCGACAATAATCATCCATTCAATCTAATAATCAGGTTGACAAGTAATTAAACGTATGGCTGAGGGGCGCCTTAGGATGATCATGTTTAATAAACATGTTTTTGTTTCGCTTGTCATTCTAATTCTATGATTAATGGGAAATAGGCCAGGGGCGACACTAGAGGGCGCCCGCGCCCCCAACACATTTGTCGCCCTAGGCAACCGCCTAGTTCGCCTATAGCAATCGCCGGCCCTGTGTGTGTGTGTTTGTACCTGGTCCTGACTGATGCTGCGCTGCTGCTGGTGATGTGTGTGTGTGTGTTTGTACCTGGTCCTGACTGATGCTGCGCTGCTGCTGGTGATGTGTGTGTGTGTGTGTGTGTACCTGGTCCTGACTGATGCTGCGCTGCTGCTGGTGATGTGTGTGTGTGTGTGTGTGTGTGTGTGTGTACCTGGTCCTGTCTGATGCTGCTGGTGGTGTGTGTGTGTGTATACCTGGTCCTGTCTGATGCTGCGCTGCTGCTGCTGGTGGTGTGTGTGTGTGTGTACCTGGTCCTGTCTGATGCTGCTGCTGGTGATGTGTGTGTGTGTGTGTGTGTGTGTGTGTGTGTGTGTGTGTGTGTGTGTGTACCTGGTCCTGTCTGATGCTGCGCTGCTGCTGGTGATGTGTGTGTGTGTGTGTGTGTGTGTGTGTACCTGGTCCTGTCTGATGCTGCTGGTGGTGTGTGTGTGTGTACCTGGTCCTGTCTGATGCTGCGCTGCTGCTGCTGCTGGTGGTGTGTGTGTGTGTGTACCTGGTCCTGTCTGATGCTGCTGCTGGTGATGTGTGTGTGTGTGTTTGTTTTTGTGATATATGAGGACACAAATGTGTATAATGACATGCATATTACACTGGTATTACAACTTACACGTGATATATGAGGACATTGCATGTGTCCTCATATTTCAAATAGCTTAAAAAACATAAAAAACAATGGGGTTTTTTTTATGTAAAAATGCAGCATGTCTCCTGTGATGGGTAGGTTTAGGGATAGGGGCAGTGTAGGGGGATAGAATATACAGTTTGTCCAGTATAAAAGTCATTACGCCTATGGAATGTCCTCATATATCACAAAAACAAAGCTGTGTGTGTGTGTGTGTGTGTGTGTGTGTGTGTGTGTGTGTGTGTGTGTGTGTGTACCTGGTCCTGTCTGACACGGCGCTGCTGCTGCTGCTGCTGGTGATGTGTGTGTGTGTGTGTGTGTGTGTGTGTACCTGGTCCTGTCTGACGCGGCGCTGCTGCTGGTGATGTGTGTGTGTGTGTGTGTGTGTGTGTGTGTGTACCTGGTCCTGTCTGACGCGGCGCTGCTGCTGCTGCTGCTGGTGGACTCAGAGTCGGAGCTGGAGCGCGGGAGACTCCTCTCGTTCCTGTACACCAGAAAGCTCTCCGTCTTCGGCTGGCCGCTTCCACCGAAGCCATTAGTGTGCAGACCTGAGGAGGAGAGGAAACTCCATTACACTGATGTGTGTTTGACACCCTCACACACACAGGGACAGTCAGAGTCGAGGAATCTCAGTTCGCCACTGAGCTTCTGTGGTACTTAATTCAGTTCTCTCTCTCTTGAGCTCAAACGGACACGTGCACGCGGAGTCGCGGAATGAAGTCAAAATACCCGCATGTAGCTTTAATAAGGATAAATTATATTAATTAATTAGTTATATTTCATTTAAACAGTGAAGACTGCTATCAAATAGTCATATTTATTCATATTGCAGTTTTCACAATACACATTATTTCAAAGCAGCTTTACAGAAAACCATGATGTTATGGCTTATAATATTTCAATATCATCACACTTTATAGTTTCATTTATCAGATTAGAGCTGAGTGATAATAGTAACATTTTGTGACAATACAAACAATCAAGTGTTTTATATTTGCTATAGTATATATCGCTTAACTTGAGTTAACGGTTTTAATGCTGATAAAGTTGGACAAACAGTAATGGTATCATTAATTATTATTTATTTAATTAATTTCAGTTAATAAATTGTTATGTGGGGATACTGAGATTTATCGAACCTGTGAGGTTTTATACGAATTATTGGTATAATTTGGTGATGCGTTTGTATGAATGTCATATTCAGCAACTGCCTTATGGAAAACAGATCAACATTTCTTGGTGTTCCACGGAAAAAGAAAACGAGTAAATAGTGATTTTTCAGGCTTTGTTTTCTGATCCTTGTGTCTTCCGGTGGTGGGGATTTCCCAGCATTCAAAGCTCTAAACAGAAAACATCTGACTCACAGAGCAGTGTGGGAGTTTCCTCACAATCAGTCAGTCTGTGAATATGAATAATCAGCGATGATAGAAACAGTTAAACCACAGGATTCAATGAAGAACGGCAGAAGTCTCTCAGCAGCGAAACAAATGATGAATGATGAAAGTGTGCACTATCAAGTTCGTTTTTTTGCAAAGCGAGTGGCATAATCGATTATGTAAATTCCACATTTTTTAAAACAACAATTACGATATTATCATAGACGACACAGATCGCACATCGCTGACCTTTAGGTATGAAGCTTTCTAGGGCTGCATTTACATTACATTGATCAAGTGACCCTCACGCATGTAGGAAAAAAGCCCATTTGATTCTGATGTTCTCAGATCGGTTTCAGGCCTCATTCATATGTGGAAATAAATCTAATATGAATTGTGTGTGGATGGTGTGGAAAGCAAAAGCTTGTATTATCATTTCGTTTGCATCCATTTGCAAATCCCGCCGTTTTCCTTTTCAGTCGGAGGTTTTCCGGGTCAGTGGGTCTACCTCGGGGTGTTTCGGCAAGTGTAGATGCGGGTCCATTAGGCTGCCAGATGAATGCACAGACCTAATGAGAATGACACGCATCCGTTCTCTTTCTCGGTTTACAACACACAAGCGGCTGTGTTTACGAGGAAACTCGCCGAGACGGCCATTTTGACTTTATTTTACGTGCACGTGTCCATTTAAGCTCAGAAGAGAGAGAAAGAGAACTGAATTTCAATATGTGTGTTCACGTGCTGTCTCCACGGCTGTGTGTGTGTGTGTGTGTGTGCGAGTCCTCTTGCGCTTGATGTCTGACTCGACTTAAAATGTTGGGTCACGAGTTACTGACGTAACGCCGGTTCTCTGATACTCTGTGCACTCGGCGGACGGGACTGATTCGGGGGAAGAATAACATCTTCATCCTCATCCTCATCCTCATCTTCATCCTCATCCTCATCTTCATCCTCATCTTCATCCTCATCTTCATCTTCATCTTCATCCTCATCTTCATCCTCGTCTTCATCTTCATCCTCATCCTCATCTTCATCCTCATCCTCATCTTCATCCTCATCCTCATCCTCATCCTCATCTTCATCTTCATCCTCATCCTCATCCTCATCTTCATCCTCATCTTCATCCTCATCTTCATCTTCATCTTCATCCTCATCCTCATCCTCATCTTCATCCTCATCCTCGAGGATGGTCGACAACACCTCGCCATCGTCATATTCCTCTCCGCGAACGGGAGGATGTGGAGGACGACCTTTCCTCCGGGGCTCTCCGGTTCCTTCACACTGGCAATGATGGAGCCTACTCCGAAAATCTTCCACGGGGAAGAGAGCGAGAATGACGAAACGGTTTATATTCAGGGAGGCGGGGCTGATCACTGCAGCGATTGGCCTGCCATCTTTGGCAGACTTGGTGTCATTGGGGTTTGAGATACCAAACTTAGAGAGAGAACACATTAGGGCTGTCACTTTGGTAACGCTTCCTTTTACAGTCCTGTTACCCATCTACATACTATGTACTTATTATAGTAATTACAATTACTGGGTAATACTAACCCTGACCCTACCCCTAACCCATGTACTTACCTTATATTCGCCAGAACTTTCTAGGTAAGTACACTGTAAGTACACGTAAGTACTGTACTGTAAAAGGAAGCGTTACCGTCACTTTACGCTTGAAAATCGATTGCACAATCGATCCGACCAACCAACACAAGTTTCGAAAAACTAAAAAAGGGAATCGATTTTAAGGGCCTTTTTTTTTTTTTACCAAAGATGTGTGTTAGGAGGACAGATCAGTACAGCACACAGAACATGTGGGATGCTGGAAAATAACAGTGTCTTTTCTGTTCACCAAATGCTTTTTAATATTCGCTATTACTTCAGTGCAAGTGAACAAGCGCAACGTTATTTGTTGTGTAGTGACGTGTGTGTGTGTGTGTGTGTGTTCAAGTAAGCCAGAAATGTGCAGATTCTGCAATACGCTGTATTTAATATATCATGAGGATCACGAGTTGCGTTTTTGTGCTGAATCCACGCAGATTTGGCTTACACGAACTTCCCCAGCTAAGTGAGTAAACACAGAAACACGCCAGATTGGCTCGTGATTTGACAGCGTTTCCCGCCAAAGTTCATTTGTACGCGCATCTGGCGGGTCGAGGTGTTAATCTCAATCCCTGAACGTTGCGCTCCTGTTTGTCATTGTGCTGAAACTTCACGCCAATAAATCATCAGGAATATTGCTGAATTGTGTGTCTCAAGCGCCCTCTTTATGCTCGTCCTAATGCCTGTTAGGTGTCCGTGGATTTGCCTGTATTTGGTGTTGAAAATGGAAACGTCTTTAGATGGAAAATCGATTCAATGATCCCTTATGACTCAAAAATCGAACAGGATTTTTTCACAATAGTGACAGCCCTAGAACACATGCTAATGATAAACTTTCACTCTATGATGATTTAACTATCGCAGATACGCACATCGTGATACCGATATCGGTGCTAAAACGAAATATCGTCCCGCCCAACAACCAATCGGAATTGTGCATTAAGACCTTCAGTGTAAATGTGGCCTAGGAAACCTGGTGTTGTCCGTTTTCTAAGGCAGGATTGCACGTATCCTAACAGAGAAAGCAAACACAGAACGCACAACGACTCGAATTGAATTTGGACATTGTGATCCATTATTTGTGGTTGCGGTGTATAAAATGTTTAGTAGAGTGTGGTTTGGTAAACCTCATTTGTGAGCTAAACCTCCGTGTGCGTCACGTACCCAGGATGAGGTGGTCGTGCTCGCTGTCGGTCTCCGAGCTGGAGCTGGACTGGGGACTGTGGGGTCTCTTGCGGGACGGGTGGAGCGAGGGAAGCTGCGGGGGGCCGATGGCACTGGAGATCAACCCCGACCCGTGCAGGAGATCGCGGTTCTTCGGGGGTCGGCCCGGGCGCTTGGGAGGTCCGGAGGCTTTTGGGTTCTTCTTGGAGAAGAGGACAGATGTGCGCCGGCCGACCTCAGGAGCCAGAGCTGAAGACGACGTGCTCAGATCTACAGAGACAAGGACAAGACGGGACATTTGTGCATTTAAAAAGAACAATCACATCATTTAAAGAGGTCCTATAATGCCCTTTCACAAGATGTTAAATAAGTCTGATGTCCCCAGAGTGTGTGTGTGACGTTTTAGCTCAAAATACCCAACAGATATTTTATTTATAGCATGTTAAAATTGGCACTTTTTGAGGGTGAGCAAAAACACAGTTTTTGTGTGTGTCCCTTTAAATGCAAATGAGCTGCTGCTCCCGGCACAGTGGGCGGAGCTTCAAGAGCTTGTGTGTGTGTGTGTGTGTGTGTGTGTGTGTGTGTTTACAGCTCCGATTACCTCACACAGACAACACTGAAAATGTCTAAAACTTTTAGCCTTTTATGTTCAAACTGGAGTCGGACAAAGATGGAGAGACTCAGAAGAAGTGACTTGTAGAGCAACAGGACATCTCTGAATGGTTAGTTGATGAATGTATGTTTCTGATGTGGAGTTAACTACCTTCTAGTCATTGATTAGCATATTCTGTCATGATAATCTATAAATCATGTTCCCCGGGGCGGGGTTTATGTAAATTTTACATAACGTGAAATTGTAGTTCCTACCAGCCGTTTGTTGTAGTCCTTAAAGACCCACTCCGATGAAAATAATGTTTTTCTAGGTGTTAACATGTTCTTGTGGCATTTTTCTGATGTTAGAGGACATATCTTGAGAAAATAAGCTCAAAGTTGTATTTCTGAGTATTTCTACATTCAAATGGCTGTGAATCAGTAGCAGACGCTAAAATGCCGGCTAAAATAGACTGGAGTTGTGACGTAGTAACTCCACTGGGCGTCTCCACACGCGACGTCTTGGAGTGAAATAATGATCGGTGATAACTTTGATTAACTTCGGATAATAATAATGAACGTGTATATAATACTGTTGCCCCACCGGTATTGGGGGTGTAAGCTAGCGGGAGAGACAGAGCTCTCAGCAACGGGCAGGGGGAGGGGCGTCTCCGTGCCATTCGCAGAGGCGAATTGCTAATGAGCTACTGCCGCTCTGCTGAAGCGAAGTCCCAGAAAACGGCACAGGTTTTGTGATTTTGGATAAAAATGGCATAATCATAATTTAAAGACCACTGGGAATGTTTAAAAATAGCTCAAAATATGATCGGAGTGGGACTTTAAAAAAGCATTTTCTGTAAAAGTAAATCTCTCCTTTTGCTTTGAACTCTGAGCGTCATAACTTTGCAGATGTTGTTTATCCTCAAACCGCAACATTACACACTCACTACAGCTAGAAACGTGAAATCATAACCAACCACCCCTTTAAGTGCATTTATGGTGAGATTACTAGATTTTCATGTCAATGAAACCAATGCACCTGGAGCGCATTACCGGACCGTGTGAAAGCGAACACTGGTAAACATGGGTATGGGGAAAGATACGCACTGCAAACGGAGTGTGTGTGACACGTCGCGTCTGGTTTAGGACTAGGCTGGGAATCTCCAGGCTTCAGACGGCTGCGATGGGATGATAAAACGATTATCGATGCATGTTTTTTTCTCACTGTGTGACTACTTGGTACTTTTAAAGCCAAGTATTTGTAATGATCCAATATATTACTTCCAATATCCAACTAATGCTTCCAATTAGATCTCCAACATTTTCCTATTTATATGTTGTGATTTGTATAGTCACATGAGACACAGCCATCTTCTAACAGTTTAGCTGTTACATACTGGGAACTATATTCTCAGAAGGCGAAGCACTGCTACTTGGGCGGAGTGATTAGCGCAACACCTGAAAGGCACCGCTGTAACTTCCGTCAACAAAACCAAAGTGACTAGCTAGCTAGTAGCGAACGTGACTGGTGATCTCAGGTGCTGCGCGCAAATCACTCCGCAGAAGTAGCAGTGCTTCGCCTTAGAGAATATAGTTCCCAGTATGTATACGGTTAGAAGATGGCTGTGTCTCATGTGACCTTGTTATTTGTACACGCTGGGACTACAAATCACAACATGTAAATAGGAAAATGTTGGCGTTATTTTGTCACTTATTGGGATCAGTAGGCTTGCTGGAGCCGTTTACCTCCAGTCTTTGTGCTAAGCTAGGCTTGAAGAGCTTCACACGGCTCTGCACGATCCCAGCTGGGGAACAGGGTCTTATCTAGCCAAACGATATGGCCATTTTCTAAAAAATAAATAAAAATGTGTATATACTTTTTAACTACAATTGTTTGTCTTGTGCTGGTCTGCGTAATCACTGGTCTGCGACGCGCCAGGCATTACGACATCACGTGGAAAAGGTCACGCTGGACGTAGGCGGAAGCACCGCCCCATTGTTTACAAGCGTAGAGAAGGAGGATCGTTCAAATTTTATTGTACGTTGAATGAAATATTTATGTCAGTTTATTGTTTAAAGTGGTCCTTTCGTGTGCGTATCCTGGATGTTTGAAACAATGGGGCGGGGCTTTCTCCTACGTCCAGCGTGACCTTTCCAACGTGATGACGTAATGCCTGGCGCGTCGCACACCAGCACAAGACCAACAATTGTGGTTAAAAAGTATATACATTTTTTTTTTTTTTTTAAATGCCCGATGGTTTGGCTAGATAAGACCCTGTTCCTCAGCTGGGGTCGTGCAGAGCCGTGTGAAGCTCTTCAAAGCCCTTTGAAACTGCATTGATTTGGACTTCAACAATTTGGTTACCGTTGAAGTCCATTGTGTGGAGAAAAATCCTGAAATGTTTTCCTCAAAAAACCTCTTTCCTCTTTTCCACTGAACAGAAAGACATGAACATCTTGGATGGCATTGGGGTGAGTAAATTATCAGGAAATTTTCATTTTGAGGTGAACTAATCCTTTAACATTTAGAAATCGATTTTTGACATTCGTGATTCGATTCAGAATCGTCCACGTCCGCATCTAAGAATCAATCCCCCCCCACCCCTATTTAGGACAGGGTGTAACACTGTGTCCTAACCAGACGCGATGCGATAAGATTCCAGCGAAAAATAATTTGTCTGTCCACACTAGACGTGACTGCGAGATGCGTAAAAATCAATCACACCCACAGCCAATCAGAGCAGCGTGTGGGCGGAGTCTCGCGGCACCAGAGAGTAATCCTGACGGCACTCCCAAGAAAATGGATAAGTAGCTACATAATCAAATTCACAAATATTACACCATTTAAACTTTAAAAATACATAGGCTACTGAGTTACTAAAACAATCTTTGTCAAAGAATACACTTGTTTGTTCACAATTTGAACGTTCTTGTTTCCATTTATTTAATTTCAAGATCTGAGGTGAATCAATTGTTGCTTTTACAGCTGCAAAGCTGGAGCACTAACTGATATTCTGTGTTATACGTTAAATAAAGCACATAAACAGCGCCTGAGATTATCATCGCCACACTTTGTGTTTGTTGTTCCAGCGCGACGTCGCAGAAAAATAGACCCCTTTTGCGCCGACGTCACAGTTGCGTCACAGCGCTAGCTGGAGGCAAAACAAACGGACAACTGGAGGCGGCCAATACAAACCAGCACAGATTCGGCTACATAAGAAGAAGCTTAAGTTATTATTAAATGGCATCTTGTTGTGTTGTTGGGTGCAAGAATCAATGAAAAATGAATATGCTGTATCTGGAATTTTTATTTCTAGAAAATATTCACATCATTAACATTGCACCGTAATGTCACTCTTTACACTGTCGTCTTCTCGGCGCTGGCTCGGCAGAACTGCGGATCGTACACACAAGTCTTTACATGACCATTCAGCACATAGTTATAGGCATCTAAAGATTTATATGCCCTCAGTTTCTCTTTACGCTCGGCTTCTCTATCGGATAGGTGTAGAAGTCAGGCCACTCAACCGGAGGTAGCGCTAACATTAATCCTGTCAGATCGTCCATCATTGAGTGAGCGTGTACGGGTCGGCCAATCTGGTTCCGTCCGTTAAAATGAACTTTTGCAAATAACAATCGCGGTCCTGGACACTGAGTGACCTAACACATTAAGATAAAATCGGATTTTCTCCAGTCGTTGTTAAAAAACAAGCTAACAAAACTTGCAAACTAGCGTTAGTGAAGCGGCCAGAGGGATCGTTCTGCCTCCACCTAAGCTCCGCCCACAGAAAACATCACCATGTTTACCAACTGAAAAGGGGTCTATAGAAACAGTTTCTAAAATAGAGTTGTCGCGTGTCGCGGCTGGTTAGGACAAAAACTCTGATTAACATGAAAAAGACGCCTTGTATCGCGTGTCGTGTCGTGTGTAGTTAGGACGCGGTGTACGGGTTATCCGAGGTGTTCTCTGACCTTTGCCACTGATGTCGTGGCTGCTCTCTCCTTCATCGTGACGAGCTCCTCCTGAGGAGTGATGCGTGAGGACCGACCCGCGCTCCAGAGACAGGCCCGACTCGTGCCCACAGATGCCCTCGCGCTGGTGCGCCAGCTTGCGCTTCAGGACCGTCATCTCCTTCTTCAGGGCTTTGGCTCGCCGCAACTGGCCGATGCTGTGCTTGCCCGACATCACCTCCTCGTACCGGTCCTGCAGGATCTGCAGCTGCTCCTCCAGAGGCAGACGCCCTCGGCCCTCCAGCAGGAAATCTGTGTGCGGACATTACCTTTACATGATATATACACGCTCTGTGTGTGTGTGTGTGTGTGTGTGTGTGTGTGTGTGTGTGTGTGTGTGTGTGAGAGAGAACAGGACATTCACTTCACATGTGAAAAGGTACAAAACATAACCTGAAACTCTTTAAAATGGTCAGTGAAAGGAGCTGTAAC